GGGCGCCGGCTGCGGGCGGTGGGCTTCGGGCGTGTCGCCCGCCGCAGGGGTAAGGCTGTCCCCTGCGCACCAGGGCGGGCAGAAGCCCTGTGTCCCCGCAGCTTCGCAGGCGGGTTTCTGCAGGCAGAGCGCTGCAGCGAGCATCTCCTGGGCCCCTAAAGCACCGTGTCCTGGCTGTGTTCCCCCCACTGGGTCTAGGTGTCTTGTATCGTGTAGGTACTTCGCATATCCATAAATACTCATTTAACATGTGCTTAAGAGTAGCCATGTAATCACTGTTCCAAATAAAAGCCACCTGTAAAGAGGTTGTTCTGCATACCGCCTCTCAGGCTGTTAAAAACCACAGAATACAAAAAGTAGCCAGAAAGCTACCTTTTTTTGCAGGGGGAGTGTATTCTTGTGAGACTGCTCACCTATCTTTCCTTTACCCTCCAGGTATGGTCCCAAAATGCCTCTCGCAGTGGATTGCACCGCTGAACTGATTCGTTGCAAGGTCCTGGATTCGTCTGGCAGACTGAAGTCGCATGAGCTCATCCTCTCTTATGGGCTGGCTCTTGTAAGGTAGGGCTCTGAAGGCCTGTGTGCTGTGAGAGAGAAAGAGAGACCTGGACAGATAGCATTATTCAGGTGTCTAATTTCACTTGGCATCTCTGGGACCACAGCGTTGTACGGCGTGTGGGGGATTTTTCTCTGGGGTTCCAAGTTTCTTAATCACTCGTTTGATAGTCGTTTATCTTTTCTGTAACCTGCATGCAGGTTTGTCAACTTGATCACAGAAAGGAAACAGAAAATGGTCAGCATTCCTCTGAGACAATTAGCCAAAGAGGTAAATATTTAATAACCGTTACTCAATAACTTATGTGTATATAGGGAGCGTATGCATTGTTTATTAACAACGCTGGGTGGAGGGAGTTGGGGGATCATTCTTTTATAACCAAAATAATGGATACAAATGCCAGTTCTTTCCAACTGCAAAGTCTTAAAGAGGCTTGATGTAACTAGATCTAAAACTTTGTCCTTTAAAGTCAGATTAGGGGTAACAAAGTCCCACTTGACATATAAACCACACATTTTTGTTTGTTACCTACTGAGATATGGAAAAAGAGCTAAATCTATATCTATCAATTCTAGTCTTTGACGGGCAAGGTTATACATAAAAAGCACTTAATCATACTTGAAGACATTTTCATCTTGTGTCTCTCACTTGAGGTGAGCTTGTCCACCTCTGTGTGGAGGAGGGAAAGTTCAAGGTGTATTTGTTGTAGTAGGAGCAGCTCGAGTCCTTTTATTGCTGGCTGCACTAAGCATCATATCCGGGTGTGAACAGCAAATTTTAGAAGTCAAGAACAGACAGTATTTGAGACTGTCCTATATATGCAGCCTTGTCTGAGGCCCCTGTGTGAGAATGATGAATTGATTATTTTATTATTGGTTTTTAAGAAAGGTGCTTCATCTCACCTTTTAAAACTGATCAAGCTTAAAAATAGAGGCCTTGCATAGTTAAAGGTAGTTGTCCTTAGAAAAGTTGCAAAAAATTGCGTGCAACTTGGAGTGTGTATGATTTGAGTATTACATATGACATGATTTGTATCTTTGATATACAAACTGTCATCCAAAATGTTTTATTTAAACATAATTTGACTGCTGCTCAGTATCTCATTATACACAGCACCTCTGTCTAAAAAGACATCTGCTGTTGCAAGTAACGTTGAAGAACTTAAACTGTAAAAATCCCAAGTTTGTATGGATCCTTGGCCACAGGAGGAGTGGGATTGGAGAGGTGGGGATTTCAGTCCACCCTTGAATTGGGAAGCTGGGGGACTGTGGTGCAGGAGTGGCCCAGAAGAGGCTGTTCCTGCCCAGGTAGAAGTTCTCTGCATGCAGTTGTGGCGTGATGCAGTGGGAACTGTAGGGTAACTCCCGTGGTTGTTCTTCCAGGTGGATATCCCCATCTGGGTTGTGGATCTCCGTCACGAGCTCACCCACGGGAAGCTGCCGCGTCTGGCTCTGTGCCGCAAGGGTGAGTGCTGCCAGTGGGTGGCATTGGGAGGTCCTGGCCTGAGGTGTGCTCAGGGTGGCAATGCCAGTGCCACAGGCCTTGAGGGGAGCGCTCCTCCCTCCATTTTGGGACCCTGCAGGGCAGGCAGCAGGCTCATCCTGGCAGGGAGAGCTGTGGTGTGAGACACCAGGAGGGTTTGCGGCTGCCCTTTGGGTGTAGCTGAACTGTGTCTGGTGGCTCCAGGCTGTGGTGCATTACAGGGCAGGTGTTCAGAGACTTTCTCCTTCCCCTGAAAAAAATACTGGAAACAATAGTTTGTACCTCTTGCTTCTTTACAGCACAGAAAGTTCATCTCAGGAAAGAGGTAAATGCTTTTCCTGATGGTTTAGAGATACCTGAGGCTTTTAAAAAATCCCTTTTAGGGATAAATGCAGTAGGTACTGCAAACCTGAATGAATGACCAGCTCATGGCATTTGAAGGGGTTCCTGGGAATTTCGGGTTAAGAACGGAGGAGTCAGTTAAATAAGCTTCAGCAGGGTCCTTAGATTGAGTTGGGTAGTGAAATAGCGATGGGAGAAAAGGAGTTTTCTTTCCATTCTATCTAATGTATGCCTAGTGTAGTCTCTGCACAAAAAATTAATGTTATTGTTTCAGACACTGTTGATCATGGTGATACTAAAGAACTGACTCATTTTCGCATCAGAACGTCACTGCTGGGACATAGTTTCTGCTTAAATTTGGCCTAGCTTGAGCAAGGTGTAGCACTATAGCAGTGTCCGATCTTTCTTGTTGCCAAAAAGACAGTGGGTAGGTGTTAACCTGTTGTACTTGGTTGTGAGTTCTTTTTGTTGTTTTTTTTTTTTGTTGGGTTTGTGGTTTTTTTTAAACTCATTCACCTTTTCATTAATGGAGTTGTATGTGATTTCAGGTTTCGTAACTTGTTAACGACATTTCTTTTCACAATGCAATTTAGCAATGTGCCAGCTATATTCTATTTTTTTTGAATAATAAAGGAAACCTCACTGAGAAGAGAATGTTTGCTGTTCTCCCTCAGGTTGTGATGTTGTGCTGGACTGGCTACGAAAGACGTATTGGAGCCGTCAGCTGGGCAATAATTTATGTGAAGAAAGTGAGGACGAGGATGAGGACGAGGAGCAGGAAGCGGCAGAAGAAAATACGGAGTTGGACACTGATGCATGGGAGATTCAAACCCCACAGCATGAGGCCTGTCAGAAACACAAAGAATTCCATGGTAGGTGTCCCTAGAACAGTGGCAGATACAAGGAGTAGATATGTCCCATATCTATGAGAAGGAGATAGATCTATCTATCTATCTCCTTCTATGAGAAGGCAGTTTAAAAGTGTCATCTTCTAGCCTTGACAATGCATAAAAATATACCTACAGCTCATGTTTTGGGATTCCTCTTTGGGCCTTGGTGGATTCTTGGGGTGACTGACTTTTTTGGTATTAGCTCACTGAATTTGTAGCATAAAATCTTTTACTTCTGTTGAATATGCAGCGTCCTAATCAGTAGCAACAGTTATACAGGGATGGTTGAGGACCAAGCATTGTAAAAATTGGTTGTAGTGTCTTGACAGCCACAGTTTTGGTATTGAGGCCACTACTGACAAAGAAGGTTATGGTCCTTTTATAGCCCTCAAAACTCTGTAGATTCCTAACTTGAGCAAAAGCAGGACAAAGGCAGTTCAGTCAGTTTCAAAATACCTCGCATCTGGACAGAAAATCACTAGCTGCCAATAGTGTATATATTTAAAAAGAAAATCACAGGTAATTAAACCTGGATATAATCTAAGATATAAAGTGCAAAACAATGGGACAACTTTAGTAAACTTTTCCAGTGGTTGCTTTTCCATCCCCGGAAGTCTTTGAACCCAAAATAGGGAGCTTTTCTCAATGTAGATTTCTAGTTTGAATGACTTACTGGAGGAAGTGGGAGTTCAGATTAGATGGCTGGTCTGTGAGTTTGAGGCATGTGAGGTTATCAAACGGTACCTCAAACAGTAAAACAAATTAGTCATAATTTTTTCCTGACAAAACATGGCATGGTTATGGGGAGTAACTCGCCCAACAGATTACAACAGCACAATCCAAGGTTTAGAGAGTGTGCAGAAATGCCAAAGTGGCCCTTCATGCTTCCTGGAATGTTACGCTATAGGTGACTATAATGATCTTTCTGGCTTTGGGATCTATGGATTTGTTGCAAGTCTTTTCTAGATTCCTTTATAACAGACTCATACATAGAGAGGGTAGCTGTGATCCAGAAAATATTAGCTAATTTGTTGTGCACTTTGAGTTTAATACAGAATTTATTGGAACATGTCAAGCCAAGAGGCAGTAATAAACTTTGGAATGCAGCAGCATTTACCACTTCTCTTGTCAGAGTGTCTGTCTGGGCTTGTGTCTGACTTCATGCTGGGTGACGTGCAAGCATGTGCTATTCCTTATTCCTTCCTTTCCCTGGCTACCCTAAAAAAAGAACACCGCACGCTCAGTTTCTGAAAGAGAGAACCACAGAATGATACAGTGATTTATGTGACCAGAGTGATGGAATGGCAACGGTATATCAGTCCTACAGTTCAAATGCATCTCCAGTTTTATCTAGCTGATACTGGGTGGTGGGCATCCTGACAACAGGTGACAGTGACATCTGAATGGGGAAATATTTTGAAATATGGTGCTATTTCAGGTACAGTAAAAGTGGTCCATAGATAGAGAAAAGACGTTTCATGTAGATAGTAAATTATAGTGAAGTCCAATAAGTATATGGTTGGTTTGTGAATAGCCACAGTGCTGTTGCAATAGATTTAAAATGCAAGTATAAGGAAGATAAATAGGCATCAGTACATGAACTGCCTATGGGAACAATTTCTTCCTAAATTGATCTATTTAGGGATTTTTTTTTTTGAGCTGTCTGGATTTATCCAACTTGCCTGTCTTTGGTCACTGTTAGTGTTAAAATACTGAACTCCTGGTTCAACCCCACTTGATAAAATTTATGTTGCTGGAAAAGTCTGGGAGCTGTCTTCAGAATGAATGTTGTCTCAATCAGAATTTATGACTTTATTTGACTGGTGTCTTCCTTGATTGTGTATTCACCAGAACTAAGTAGCTTGCCTTGATACAAAATTCCCTTATATAGTTGATCTGTTCCCTGTTTAAACTATGTATTTATGTTTATTTCTAGAAAAAGTCAGAGATGTGTTGATGTCCTACAAGAATGAGCAGTTTCGGGTAAGTGCAGTCTGATCATCGGCACTTTTGGTTCTTCTCATTTCCTGCTTGGGGCAACAGGTCTTCTCTTCATTCTTGCCCAAACTGAAGAACTGGTGCCCTTGGCCAAGCCTCATTTGAGATACCTGAGTGCTGGCACGACTAAGTTGCTGTGCCAGGAGTTTATTTCATATAACTGCAGGGATCTCTTTTTTTCTCCCTGTAGCATCCTCCCACAGTTAGAATCTGTCCGGAAGCATCAGTGATGCAGAAGTGATATTTGTATCAGTGCTGCAGAGGTGGCAGTAAGCCAGTGTCCACAGTGCTACCAGCACTTGCTAGGTTGTCTATTATTGCCTAAAGCAGTGCTGCCGTCTAGCGTGTAGCCCATAGGGGACCGGTGACTACTGCATGTGCAGAGGGAGGCTTGCTTAGTTTCTTGTTCAGACGTCTCTCCTAGTGTTGTCATACATGGCTTGCCAAAGAAAAGCTTCACTGCAGAGAGCAAGCAATTTGACCTGTGATGGTTTCTAATGTGAACACTTTGTTCATGTTTATAAATGAGATATATTCTTGTTGGAGATCCCAAGCCTTGCTTGTCCAGGTAGAGTGTGCTCAGTTTGTTTTCCTTCATCCTATTGCCTCTGGAAATTGGGACCTGTCATTCAGAGGTCATTAGCCCATGTTTTCTATCATCCATTGTGTATTTTTGCAGTGGGCCAGTGGCTCAGGTGCTGCAGTTCAGATATGTGAATAATTTGCCCCAGAAATCTCTCTCTGCTCAGCTTCCCTTTCTTAATAATGGGATAGTTCTTAAGATGTGTTGAGAGCTCGGTTACAGACTCTGTAAAAGGTCTTTCGATACATGACCTCACCGACATACTGTTGTTACCAGGGAGCTGTTCTTACTTTTATTTTGATTAATATCATCAGGGGCTAAAGGAGAAAGTGTGCTAACGTTCCAGTGAAGTGTAGACTTAATCAGCAATGAGAACCAGGGTCAGGAATTTTATTGAAAATGAACATCCGGTTTCCTTCGTTGTCTTGGGTTTGGAGTATATAATGTGATTCTCCTTTGTTCATCCTTCCCTCTCTGTAGTTCGTACTGGCTTATTTTGTATGTTTTGCGTTGTATCGTAGAAGAGACAAATTGATTATGGTGGTGGTGACCTCTTAACATATTAACAGAACAGAGGGAAGTATTTCAAACTGAATAGGAAAATGCAATTCAAAATTTAAACTGGCCAGGGTTGAGTGGGGGAAAGGAGTAGTTAGTCAATTGCTAAAGAGTAATTTCAAAACTTTTGTCTCGAAGCTCATGTGAAACTCTCCTTATCCTATTGAAATGGTGTAAATACAGGCTGAAGACTAAACTATGTTACATGCCTCAATTTAATTGAATGCTGCATACTGTGCTTTTGAAATGTCTCTGTTCACCCTGTAAGGCGGCCTTTCTTGTTGAATGATTTCAAGTGGTGTACTTCTAAGTCTGTCAGCTGTGACAAAGTACAGCTGACTTGTGAAAAATGAATGCTCTGTAGATACATGTGTTGTGGATATAGCCTCCTTTAATATATAATTTTTGCCACTCTGAGGTACAGTGAGTAGGGCGTACTCAGCCTGGGCAAAGGGCTTGCCAAGATCTGTCAGCCACAAGGAGTGTTACTCCTTATGGCTGATACCTGCAAGTTCTTAACTTAAGTTTGTCTTTAATAAAAAAACATAATACTACTTTTATGCATTAATAACTACTGCAGGTAATCTGAAGAGATGTGAGCATATTGGTCCTTTCTTGGCCTCTGAAATTCTGTTCTGTACAACAGTAGACTTGTAATTTAAAACTGATCATAGCTGATAAAATCTCTGAAACTTAGAAATTGATTGAAAAAAATGACATGAGCTTGTGCCCTTTAAGGGCAGATGGTTTGATGTATCCGAATATTTTCTTAACCATGACAGCAATTGAATGTTCCAAATATCAAATAAATGCTACTTGAAGATTTTTTTAGGTTTATATTTAAACACTAACCCTACATTGACATAGCAAGAGTGGTACAACATCTTTGCTACTCCCTGCATAAATGTATAGTCTGTCTCTAATTTTTTGCATATACGGAGAAGAATCATTTATACCTAAGTCATCTTTATAACAGTGTAACTATACAGTCTCTGATCCAGGTACTTCTCTAGCTATTTTGTTAACTACTTATTATACTTAAAAGCTTATAAAAGTCTGTAAGGTATAAACGAGGCCAAAGTAAGCTCTGTCACAGGGGTTGTGTACTTTGACTGTTTGTACAGGTGGGCTAGAGGTTCGTTAGTCACTTTAGCTCATGTCTTTATACTTGATTTGTCATCTAAAGTATCTTTTGCATGCAGTGGTAGCTTTACATATATAGGCAAAGAGAGCTAATCACAGTCCTGAAAATGACACTTTGGTTTTCCAGTCTCATTTTACATTACATTCCTACCTGGCAGGAAAAATAATTTCTTCTCTTCTCTCAGTGATTATTGTCTTCCAAAAAAAACCCTGCTAGATACTTGTTGGTGATGTAACATGCTTCATGACAATATTTTGTAGAAGGTGGTGATGGTAGAATTGCCACTTGGGTAGGTTGTGAGCGTAAGTAGAAGGTATGACTTACCTTGCTGGACAGACTCACGTAAAATATATATCAAACCAAGAAATCGGAGGAGTACTCCTCCTTTCAGAGGAGTACTAACCTCCAATGTTCTGTCTTGGTACACCCTGGTAGTTTGCGTTGTATATTGCTGCTACTCAGCAGACGCTCTCAGCTGATTACAGGTTGCGTAAACGGCTGTGTTGATTTGACATTTTGATCTACTGTATGCATAACATGACTGGCAAAACTTCTTTCTGAGTAGACAACCTCATCCCCACCCCACATGTGCAGTTAATGATTCAAAATGAGCGTGTCCTGGTTTGTGCTGAAGTCAGGGAGAGCAAGGTTTTGAAACAGAATGAGGATGCCAGGACTGTGACTCCTTGGTGCTGCTGACTTTTAATTCAGGCCTTTTCCAAGTATGACATGGCTTATATTAATTTATAGTATACCCCTAGGAAGGGGAATTTTTGTAAGATTTTTTTAATTGCTGTTGATGAACTACATCTTCTTTTCATAGCAATGCCTTCCTGTTTGCCATTGGAGCGTATTTGCTGTTAATGCTTGCATTTTTCCTTCACTCAGGTTATGCAGACTGTGCAGTCTGTTTCGAAGTCTCGAGAACTGTGGTCCGATTCCTCTTCAGAAATGGACTGGATTTTGGCTCAGATCAAAGACCTAATGCAAGAGAACAGGTACATCTCTGATAAAGAACTGAGGTGAAAGATGCAGTGCAGAGCTGGGCCTGTAGACCTGTTGCACTACTTTTTCACTGCATTGTTCAACTGATCATGGAGAAAGCAATTGGTTGATTTCCTCAACATCTTTGAGGACTGAGTTGTTAGTCTGTGTTAATGAGTAATGTTTCCTGTGCCAGATGGTCTCCAAGGTGTTGTCCCTGTCTTAGCTGTGCTGGCCCCAAGGCATGTCAGCATCTTCAGTGTTTTCAAAAGCTCTCCCAACAACCTTGTGTAGACTTTGATTTCACAGTAACCTTTAGAATTCTTCAAAATTGCAGGGCAATACTTGGCCTCTTCTATACTTTCTATCTTTCTGTTACTACAGAGCCTCTAGGACCCAGTGTGTTGAGAGCTTATTATTACTGTAAAAAAATGCACGAAGATCTGAGAAATTTAGTCAGTGTAACTCTGTAGGAGGGAGAGAGTATCACATTACAAATATGAGCTATAACTCCTGGTGTCTTGAATATAAATGTATATGCCATACAAGCTGCTGATTAGTTTAAGAGGTTATCAGATGGTATGCCAGAAGAAAACCCTGAGTCTTGCACCTTAGTGGCATTACCCATTCGTTGCTGAGCATGGAGTAATGAGGAAGAAGGCTTGAAGATTCTGTAATGAGAAGCATCACTTACTAAACATGGAACTTCTAAGTGTCTGTTGCTAGATGGTTGGAAGGTACTGGTGAAAGCAAGGCATTGCACCTATGATTCTGATATTCTCTCCCTAAGCATCCTCTGTTAGCCACTATCAGAACATGAATGGACCAAGTACAGCTGCTTTTTATGTATAAATAGGTATTTGAACCTGACATCAGCCCCACAGTAGAGGGGAAGCAAGCTACCACAGTATAAAGCAAGGATTTTGAAAGTTTCAAGTGAGAACAAGAGACTTCATCTTATGTGAAACAGGTTTTGCAGGAAACATTCAGGCAACAGTTGTAATGCATTGGTAACAGGTAGAAGATATAGGAAGTGCCTTTACGTATAGGAAAACTGAAGTAGTGAAGCTCTTAAGATAGTCATGTATTTGGGGTCTTTCTAATGTGGGCATGCTCTCCTATTAGTTTATGTCTGTGCAAAACTTAATTTTCATAACAATACTGTCCTGTAAGTATACGATCAAAACAGATACTTAATTTGGAAAATACTGTGGTTTTGATTTGCTTACTGTGCACTGATTCTGCAAAACATGCTTGTGGTATCACATGAAATTACGTTAAATCACATTCTGGCAGTTCTTTGTCACCATCTTTGTACGAACCATCTGTTGCATCAGCTCTTGCTATTTGTCCCATGCAGGTGCACAAAATACATTCAACCTCAATCACATGGATTTCTGAAAGAATCAAGAATCTACTTCATCTATCAAATTAAATCTTTCCCCAGAATACTCAAACTTAGCATTTAGATGCTAGTGACTGTATTTGTGGCCTTTGAGGCATCAGTGTTTCAAAGTTGTCCTCATCAAGCTGCGAAATTCCATGTAGGGGATGAAGAGGGGAGCTGTGGAAGCTTCATTTTTGAACCTTTGGAATGGATGACATATTTGAGAATACAAACACTTGGAATACCCAGACAGTTCCCAGGGCTCTGCAGTGCTTGTTCTTTACTACTGGCACAACCCAAACCATGCTAATGTTGTTCCCTTTAAATAATCTCAGGTTTCCATCTTAAGCACATCACACTATATCTTTATATATTTCTTGGGCGATTCTTAGAAGAATTCCTTAGGCTGAATTCACCATCTTTGCAGTGGCTAAACTGTTAGGATGGACAGCAAGTGAGTGGGATGGGACTCTGAGGTAGGGCTGTCAATTAAACGCTCAGTAGTGTGCCTCTCTGTGTACTGGCTGGAGGGCAGGTATGTGGGGAAAGGAAGCTTCTTTGGAGTTCTGTTCGGTGAAAAGATTGCGGCACATGATGAGTTTTATAACATACGATCCATTACGGGGCCACTGCTGACCTAGGAGTGTGCAGTAAAAAAAAGGGAATTTCTAGTCTGTCTTTGCGAATAGTAACTTTAAAACAAACAAACAAAAAAAAACCCCGCCCAAACCCCTTAACATCAATAGCCATTTTTTTGCTTTGCAGAGGACTGAATGTCTCCAGAGCGCTTCTCAACTCCAGGATACTGGTAGTACTCTGACTCAAAGTGGTGTCTGTGTACAGCATCAACAGTTATCAACAGTTACCACAGCTTGTGATAACTAGTTTTGCTGGTGATAAGCTTGGTTACATTTTTCGCTTTGCTTCTGAAGGGTGTTCCTGAGCAAAGAGCAAATATGAAGAGAGCAGCATAGTGGGGGGAGCCTGCGTAGGGCAGCTTGTGGTGTATCTGGCCAGTGGGCAAGTAAGCAAAATTTGCTTTCCTGCAATCAGCTTGGCACCTCTGAAACAGTTTTAACAGGCTGGAATTTAAGTGCAGATTTAAGCTGCTTGAATCTGGTTCAGTGCAACGCTGTTCTGTACATGTTGCTGTCATCAGAATGTGGCAGCCTTTTTTGCGTTACTGTTCCTACAGGAAATCCTGGCCTGGCAGATGTAGAGAAGACTTGAAAAAGTAACCGTCCTGCCCCCAACACCACCTCTACCTTGGAAGGAGTCTCTGCAGTTCTTATGTTTTGTTAAACACCTTCTGTTAGTCCAAAAGTGCATGTGCATGAATCTTTCCTTCTGAAAAGCTGCTGTTGTGGATAAGTAGTTAAGATGCTCCAGTGTTGTCATTACAATGTGTAGGCTTGTGTTCTTTTATGTTGGTAAGTCAAATGGAAGGGTTAGACTTTTCCAGTCTTTCAAGAAGACCCACTTGAGGAAATATTTTAGGATAGCTGTAGATTATAAATGGAACATTTAATTCCTGCAGAGTATGTTGGGAATTTCGCTGCTTTGCGGACATTTATTTTGAAGGTAAAGTGGCAGTATGATAGAATTGTTTTTGCGCCGTCCTTCTTCAGATAGCATGGATTACAGGGCGTCATTGAATTGGTGTGCTCAGGAGATGCCGATTCCAAAATTAAAGCAGTTTAAAAAGTTTGTCTTCTACCTGGGAAAGTCCCAGAACTAGGTGGCACATCTCAGGAGCCTGTTTTCATTTCCAGCTTTCACTGTCAGTTTTCCGACAGCTTTGTTTGGAATTCTAGCCCAGTAACTTAGGTAAGGGTATGAAACTCAGATGCTAGGTGTGGCCTAAAGAAACCTCAAAGATAGGGCAAGAATCTGTGGAAAAACAGCATCACAGGATCCTGTGTTCTAATAAAAAAGTCTGATGATATAGTATCTCTAGGGTATCTGTCATTTCTTAAGTAATCAAATCTGGCAGTAACGCTTTCATAGGAACTTTGTTTTCACTGCATTGTGCTACATTGAATAAGGCGCTTTTGATGGTTCCCTTAAGCACAGGCTTCAAAGAAGACAAAGAAAACAGAGAGGAGGAAGCTGGTTTCTATGACTATAAAAACGTATTTTTTTTCTGTCTTGTGGGTTTTGTTTCTGTTAGCTGTTTCATGGTTTCCTGAGTGACTCCTAATCATCAGGCAACTTTGTTAAAATAGCTGCTCTGATATGTGGGGAAATCCCCCAATTACAGCAGCCAGGGATGGGGGACTGTTTCACAACTCGCAGCTTGCAAAACTAGCAAAGAGCGAAACCCTTCAGTAGTGATGCTGCTGCAGAGAGATTTTGCAATTCTGTTTAACTGCCTTGTGTGTTCACTCTTCAGAGAGAAGTTTTGGCAGGAATGTTTTTATTTTTACACATATATGTGTTTGTGTGTGTATAATTTCCAGTAAGTACTGGTTCCGCAATTCCAGACTTTGGGCCAAACTTGCGGAAAGAAAACATGCATGTTTCTGGATCAGAATGGCTTCGGCAGTGAGTTTCCAACCCTTATTCTTTTTACTTTACAGGCTCTTTCTCTTCACTCCTTATGCTTTTTTTAAGCAGTATTAGCTCCAGAGAGCCCAGGGAACCAGGCATCAGGTTACATACTGCTAGTTTTGGTACTTTTCTGTATTTTTCTGCTCTTGTCAACAATAGATGTCAGATAGGCCACCTGCTGTAATGAAGCATTTTCCTTGATTTGTGCAGAGTGGTTTGACTGATTGTTGGACCAGATGATCCTTGAGGTCCTTTACAACCTGGTATTCTACGACTCTATTCACACATGTGCTTATTCTTGAGAGCTGGCAGAGCCCAAGTAGGGAGCGGGCATGTGTTATAGGAGAATGTGGAAGTCTGGTCACTCAGCTTATTATTTCTCCTGGGGAGTTTCTCATTCCTCTGTCAGGAGATAAGAAAGAAGTGGGACAAGGGACTTGATTGACACCTTTTCTCACAGCCAAATAGGTGACCCTCAGCCTTTGCTTTCTTCATGCTAGCTAGCACAACTGGAAACCAAGTGCTGAGTATGGCTCTGGTGCTGGGTACCACTGGGGGTGGTGTTGGTTTCCCTGGGCAAGACCCAGTGATGCATTATCACATGGTAGCTCTGCACGGGTTTTGTTGCGCTTCTGCAATGCTGTCTGTGAAGTACCTGAAATAATAGTGATGTAATGGGAATGTTTCGCCAGAGTGACAGTACAGGCTCAGCTCAAGGAGCTCCAGATGCAACTTTTAAAGAACACAAGCTGTTGTATTTATAGTTAGTGGAAGGCTGTGCCTGTATCCAGCTTCTTAGAACCATCTACACATTTTCTTTGAGAGCCCAAATTGATTATAAACAGTTCCTGGAAAGGATTCATACATGTACCTTCTACTTCTGTTTATTAATAATAGCATGTTAACTGTATTGAAAATGAGACCCTATCGCACTCTGGTTGCCATTGGTCTTTATAGAGCAACATAAATACAGTGATATGGCATGGAATTTCTCTTAAGTGCAGATTTATCTTTCTTCAGAGGGAATTCTCCATTAAATGTTCTTGTGTGAATGGTCCTGGCTTCTGTTACTTCTTCAGAAACTCAATAAAAGCTCTGCCTTCTGTAACCCTTGCTACCAGCCCATTCTCCACCAGGACATTTGTTTGAGTTGAATAGTATTATGCTACCAAAGCAGCAATGAGTGTTCGAGTGTTTATAATCAAGTCACTTTTTTACTTAAAAACCAAAGAAACTCCACAAGCTTTAAACATATCTTTGCGTGTGTGTGTTTATATAAGTGAATGCAGAGATTGCTAGAAGTTGTTTCTGAATACCATCGTGGTAATTGCTTCTGCTTTGCTTCATGTCTGTCCTGAAATGCTGCAACTCTTTACTCTTTCAGTGGCGTGGAGCCTGTCATATATCACAAACGCAGCTGTGCTAGTGCTTCCCCGGTGGCCTCCATGAGAATCTAGTTTTCTGAAGGACTGACTAATGGTACTTCTTGCTGCGGTCTCCTGTGTATTTCTGAAGAAGCTTAATTTAAGGACTCAGCTTCTTGCTTTCATTTAAGAGAGAATTTTTTTTTTTTTTGATTGTTCACTCATGGAAAATAGACCATGTGGGAGGGAGGAAGACTGGCACAGAATGCATTGGCAAGGTTGTGACTTCATTGGGTTTGGAAACTTTGATTATGGATTCAGGGGTAAGAGGGTTTAGGAGTTCTCTTGAATATGTCAAGCAACCTATGAAAGTGCTTTTTTAATTTAGAAAGCCTATGTAATTCTAAGTAAAGCCTTTCATTTCCCATATCAACATACCCTGTAATTTGTATTGTGCAGAGGGAAGAAGATTCCTTTAGACCTAAAGCAAAATGAGCTAACTGCAAAGGATCCTCTGCTGTCTGCTTCAGAGAACTGACCCAGTGGACCTTTCTTAGATGTTCTTCTGCTTAAATGGTTCTCTACTGAAGCTGCCATCTGCATGGAGATGTCCTTAGTAGTTGGTGATGATCAGTTATTGCATGTAGGAATAATGGTAATTATGCTGGAACAGTTTCCAGAGAAGAGAAGGACTGAAACTGGATTTTCTTTCTAGAAACAAATTGCCTTCTACCACTTGCTTTCTGATCTGACACCACATCATCTACTTATGACAAAGTGGTCTAGTGCTTGTGTGTGTTGTTTCTGCACTCTGAGATCTTCAGCTGCTGTTTGTATTTATAACAGTCTTGTATTGGATCTAAGTCATGCCTGGATGTTTAGATTTGGAAGTCACTCCTGTTGGAGAAAATACACCGTGTTTGACATGGGTACCACCATTCCAAATCCACTGAGTCTAATAGCAAAAGCAGTTGTTTCTGTGGAATTTATTCCGTGTTTGAAAATGGCCACCTTGACTTTTATTCTGAGAAGTGTTTATTTTAGTGCTGTATCTTTGTACAGATAGAGAAGATCATGGATAGAAGCATGAACAGAGGAACTCAAGGGAACCCCATGAATGGACATTGGGATAGTTTTACTTCTGTCCCTTTTGCTGTATTTTGCTTTCAAGTATCAGTTCAACCTACCTATCTGGGTCCCTTCAGTCTTCCACTTGCCTTAAGATGGCCTAACAGGAGATGAAGTGGTCCTTGAGCTGGATGATTCAGTGCTGTCAGACTAACTGAAGTTTGCATGATAGCTATAAGGGCAGGAGACATCCAAAAAAGAATTGTAGGCGCTGTCAGGAAGAGCAGTTGTGACCCTACTGCAACTTCTCTGCCAAACAGCTGTGTGAACTGCATCTTAAGGTGTGCCTTTCTAGCAGGTCAACAGGGTTGGCTTTTCCCCTGAAATTTAACCTCGCTCTGCGGATCAGAGGTCCTCGAATCTTGGTTGGCCTGCTGGCAGAAGACTTGGATCATACGGCAAACCATAGGTATTTCAGTATGATAGATGCTTCTGCGCTTTTGAAATACCAAGATACTTGCCTCTGCAACTGAAGCAGAAATCTTTCCTTCAAGGTTCTGGTTCTGTTCCAGTTTGCACAACTGCACTTTCCCCCCAAGTCTAGTGGGATATATCTAGCCCAAAATTAGCATGCAGTTTTAGTGCCTTACAACAAGTTACATCTCCTCCTCATAGTTCCAGGTATTTGGCGCTCAGACTTGTTTCAGAAGTGGTGGAAGTAGTGTTTTGATATGTAAAGGAGTAAGTGGCGTTAATAAAACTCTGATTGCTCTAGGGAGACAGTGGCTGAAGCTCTTCTCAGTGATGGCTTTCTCATCCCAAAGATGGATTGTCTGAAGATGCTAAATATCAAGTATGAAGGTTAGTGTTTTGGGCACCACATAAGTAAGTGCAGAGCTAGCGTTATGTCCAAGTCTGTTCTTTTTTTCTCATTATGTTGAAATCTGTAATTCCTTGCATATTTTTCATATATCTGGGTCCTTGAACGTCTTTTGACCTGTTCTCCAGACCCCTTTATGGTCAGGCTCAACTATTGCTTTTGCATAAATCTCTTACCCTGGAAGGATAGCTCTTCAGCGCTGAATGCTGCCTGGCCAAAACATCTTTTGAAGCTTGCATTTCTGCCCTTAACTGATTTCATGAACTCCCACTAGTGTCTTTTCTACATTGAAGATTTGAAGCAAATCTGAATGGGTTTTTTGAGCCTCATTTATCAGTTGCATCTTAGTTCCATGCTACTGCCCATACATGTGGAATTGCATGGATTTTCTGCAAAAGAATTAGGTGCCTAGAGGCAATGAAAATTAATAATCTGTCTATTTCCCTGGGACCTCTTGGAAACACCAGCCAAAGAACTTTCCAAGAAAGATCCTCAAATTTATGTGACTATATTACAGTAGTAAAAATTTAGGAGCTTTTTGATTCCGTGTTGCTTTGCTCAATGTGCCTTCTCTTTACAGTATATTTTTAGACAGAATGGCTCATTATGTGTGAAATAAGATGGAACTGGAAAGGGATTAGCAAAACAGGTAGATTTTCCTGTGGTTTACTGTGTGATTAGATCAGGCATTGTATTTTTTGCTTTCGTTGAGCTAATATGTTAATTATCAATTTGCTGCTTATTTTACTTCCCTAGTATAAGAAAATAGTAATTCCAGGTTCAGTGAGGATCCCAGGAAATACCCTGGAACCAGTGATCTCAGAACAAATTACTTTAGTTTGGAACAAGTGTAACACGTGTGGTTCACAAAAAATTACAAACCAGTGATTTTTGGCTTCTCTTATTTTTTTTTTCCTTCTTATTACAGCAAATAAAGAGGTATGGCAGTTCAAAATTCCTCAGACATTTTACTGCTTTTGGCAGCCTTTGCTGACAAGCCTCCTTTCCCGAAGTTTTACACAGATCCTAATAGAGAAAATGTTTATGGAGTTGAAGGAATGTTCTGACTCGTCAGAACTCCGGTCTCAGTTCTTGATCAACTGGATTTCTGAGATGCTGACTGGCATTGCCAAAGTAAATGCTGGTGAGTATGTCTGGAATTTCTGAGTAAAAAATGTAAGTTTCGTCTGTACTGTTGCGAAAACTGGGAGTGGTGTGACCTTTAGAGGGAAAGTGCAGTAACCTAATTATTACACTTTGTGATGTGAACACAGAGCTTTTATTGTTGCATTTTTTACACTTTTCAACCTGCGGTTGAGCCCTTAACCAAGCCCTTAAATGCTTTTTTTTTCCAGATATTAGTACTTGCAGGAAATAACAGTAGCAGATAACTAATAAAAATGTTATATGCAACCTGTTGTAAGTTCCCTGTTCTTTCCTCACTTAACAGAAGCCTGCCTTTACAAGATACTTGTATAGTCTTGCTGTCCTTTTTTAATCCTATCACAGGATTTGTCATGCCTTCTAAACTTCCAGAAAAGTAATAAGTAGTATTTTGTTTTCTGTTCCTAACTCCTTGCAACTGTTAAAGTTGGCAAACTGTATGTTTCGCTCCAGAGACAGAGGCACAAAAGAGCTTTAATTATTCGAAGCATGTCACGGGAATTCTCTTAACAGGACTTTTATACTGTGATATAGCGTATCCCTGACAGAGTTTACAGCTGGTTAATTTTGCTGCCTCTTCTGTCCTCGCCCGATCTGGCTCAGTCTGCACCAAGATTGCGCCAGTGTCTGTGGCAGTCACGGGTTCATATCTGATGCTTTCAGTCAGTGCTGAGCGTATCTATTCTGTACCAAGACCCCTGAATGGTAGTAGTTCCCAGCTGTTAAGTCCACTCATTGCAGTGCTATTTGGAATGATCTCGGGTCCCAGAAGCAGTATGCTGCATTTATTTGGGACAATACTATACAAACGCATCTTGTGGCTTTCCTGTCTGGGATGGCATGCACAAAACCAGCTTGGGAATGTCTGCACCTCACTGTGGTCACGTCTGGTGGAGCTAACCTAGCTGTCAGGGCATCGGCAAGTCCTTTGTAACAACCTTGATATATCTGGTCTTGGACTTGGATTGGAATGCCAGCTGATTTAAGGATGAGTGTTCCAGTAAAAATGCAAAGGGACAAAGGGCGTATTTTTAATGAGTTTTGAGCACCTTTTTGTTTTCATTATCTTCTTTGAAGGGAAGAAAAGACAACACTGTAACAAGCAGGTGTCCGTGAAGGAGCTGTTCCTCCATAAAGTTCCTTTGCAGTGGATAAGACTGACTGATAATTGCTTGGAAGCTCCCTGCTGGGCAACCCCACACCTTCTACAACTGTAAGTTTGATCCTGTGACCCAGAAAAGGGACAGCAAACAGTGCTCTGTAACAGCTTTGGCCTGCTCCCTTGTGACATGCTGAGTTACAGCTGCGTTCCTTTCCTTTGCATCTAGTAGAAATTGTGGCAGGTGCATATAAAGCCCTGCTTGTTGCTGCTCATCTCCCCATTGATTCTACAAAGAGAAGGAGGAGAAATTAAAAGGATTGCGCCTTCAAAATAAAGGCGGAGATTATCTGGGGAGGTATTCAAGAAGCAACCTGATCAAAAGAAAAGTGCTTTGGTAGCAGAGATGTGACTGCTTACACAGGTGTCACGAATACAGCACAGGTGGTAACTTTTTCACATGAAAACAGCAAAGCAGGAATTCAGTTAGAAGTATCCGAAGTCCTTAATTTTAATCACGAAGAGGAAGTATTTCAGCATCCACCCACCAGGGAATAATCAGATTTGCCTGTTAGAGGAGATATGAACGAGCTGTCCTGGAGGAAACTCATGCTTAAAAGGCTGCTTAGCTTGATAAACCTTCATCTGGAATCGTTTTTGCTTTTAAGACTTTTACATTGCCCTTTTCCTTTCTAGGATCCTCACAATCATGAGACCTCGCTTGCCACGTTCTTCACGGAAGAACCTTCTCTATCTTGCGTCCGTTTACACAGAAGGAAGTGGCCCTTTGTCCAGTCCAGGCCTCTCTTCAGACTGCAGCGAACAGCCCATTTACACTATAGAGAGCTTACAGTGGAGGGCCAGACAAGAAAATCAGGTTAAAAATCAAGGGCAGACTGTAGAGAAACAAGAAGATGTGCTAGAGAGAGATGATGGTGCAGAGGAGGTGGAGGAGGAGGAAGAAGAGATGGTAACTGAAACAAATCCTTTGGAAGGACTTGCTCATTCTGGTAACATGGTGGCTATTGCTGAGAAAAGGGCAGCGCTGAAAGGGTCCGCCTGGCAGATCACTGCAGGTAAAAAAAGACTTAGACAGTCTTCATCACTGGCAAATGTTAATTGAAATGCAAAGGCGTCTCAGCCCTCTGGGCCTGGCCAGAATTGAAGTGTGCTTCAAAATCATCTAAATGCCAAATCACTGAAAACTGGTTTATTTTCCAGTCTTCTGTTTATGTGCAGGAGTCATCTCTCTCAAACTCTTAAAATATTGTGAGTGTTTTTTCCAGGAGCATGGTTTTACTGTCTCATTAAATTTTTTTATCAGGCTTTTCCAAACTGTTTAAAATTTCAATGTATCCAGTTGATGGGGCAGCATATATGGCAGCCATGAATGGCAAAGAAAATATGAATGGTTCTTGGACTTCTGTTTGTCAGACTTGGGGGTATTTGAAAGCACAGTTTGGCTGTGCTGGAAAGCACCAGTCATATGCTCATAAGTTTCATGCTCCAGCAAAATTGCTGTTATGACATTGTGGCAAGCAAAAGCAAGGAGCAAGGCAAGCTTTTAGAGGGAATAAACAGTATATCCAGTGTTTTGTTAGCTTTATTATGGTAGCTGTACTTTCTCATTGGGGTGGAGGGTTCGGTAGCTAAGAAGATTTTTGGATGAGAGATTTATGGAGGGCCTTCAAGATGGGAGGAGGTTGGTGGAGAGGAGTTGGAGCCAAAGTGAAATTTCAAGGAAGAAGAAGAAAAGCAGCCATTAGTGAGCCAAAGACAGTGAACTCTTGTACCTTGCTCACAGGGAAGTTTTCCCAAGTCAAAAAAAAAAGAAAAAAAGAGATCTGCCTAAGTGCCTAAGCAGCTTGGCTTAGTTATGCTGATGTGAACAGCTTGTTAGAGCTGGATGTTTTGAGAACAGAAGCAAAATTGTCCTCTGCATCAGTGAGTTTGGTTCAGATCAAGTAAGGCTTTCACTGAAGGAACACGCATTGTGTCCTGAATCACATGATTTTTGTGAAGATTCTGTTTCTGTAGTTGTATAGTGGTAAACTTAATTTCTGTTTGAATAACATCTGTGTAATTACCATCCTTAAACAATGTGAAACTATAGCCAGTAGGTATGTACAAACCCATGACAACATGTGGTATATCAATTATTTACTAGGTTGTTCGCCAAAGAGAGGGCTTAGCCTGTTAAATATATAATGGTAATTTGCCTTAGAGCTGCATTGGATGTTACCACATGCTATTTCTGCCCCCTTTTTAATAGTAAAATTATAACACTTAGAAAGCACTATTCTATTTCAAGATCTATTGCTCTATTAAATGCCCAAGAACGGTATAAAAGGAAAAACCAATAAATCTGCTGGTTCTTTAGGGCAATGCTTGGGTTTCTGAGCAGATGTCAGGTACATAAAACTAATCAGTTTCAGGCAAAGAGAAGGAAATGGCCAAGTTGTACATGATTAGCAGGGGTGTCAAATAGTTGGAGTAATTATTGCTGCCTCTCTGGAGTGGAGTGCCTTATCTTCTGAAGGCTCCTGTCTGCTGGTCTTCGCTGAGCTGCTAGTAAGCATTCCAGAAATAAGTGTTCTGGTATCAAAGAAAGCACATAGGCTTAAGAAATCTTACTGTCAAAACAACGACATAATTATTTGTATCTTTCGTTTAGTAGGATGTGAAGTAAGAATCAAAATTAAAGGGGGATTTCCCTATTGGGAGCTGCCTTTGAAATTTTGGCACCACGCTATAAAGGAATGGGCTCACTGATGGTATCAGTTGTGATGGATGGTTTCCCATTGTGCAGTTTCTGGCCCCCATTGGAAGCCAACAAATGTGAAGTCACGGAGAGGAAGCAGCAATAGGTGCTCATAAAAACAAATAGCAGAGTTTCTAAGACGTTGTCATATGCTTTTTCTTTGCCATCTCATCCCAGCCCACCTGTCAGTCCAGAATTGTTTTATTGGTCAGTTAGGCTTCCCCAGCCTTATACTCTTCTACTTTTGTGGGTTCAGTTCTTCTTTAGTCACTGTTGCACTGTTGCTGTGCAGCCGCTAATCTCAGCGAGTCATTAAGAAGCTGATGGTCGGTCTCACTGGAGGGATGAGCTACTGGATGCAAAGGTGCTGTCCTGTATCTTCGAAGGTGTAAATGGCTCTTTTCATTTGCAGAAGTATGCAGAGTAATTCTTTAAAATTAACGTTTGTAAGTCAATGTGTATGTTCCAAACAAAAGTAAGCTTAAAAGAGGAAGGTAAATATGGAGGGTTGCTCTAGAATACCGTGGGATTTCTTTTAACGGACATTGTCATGCAGTGGTTTGGACGAGCAGCCCTGCGCGGACTGTGTGATGTTAAATGACTCTGGATGTGTCTCTGTTGTCTCACATACTACCGTGACTTTTTTTGGAAGAGATAGTAAGGTTAGAAATAAAATTAGTTAAAACTATAGTTCAGACTTATTTTTGCTGAGTACCTGAGATTGTTCATTTTTGCTGAACGGATATGTTGTGTGAGACAGTATTTGTGAGCTTGGGGGGGATCTTGTTTTTTGAAAGTGTCCCTGGGGAGCTCAGACTTCTTGTTTATGTACTGTTTTTACCCAGATGAAATACGATGGAAAGACTTTCCTCTTGGGAAACTCCCGGGTCAGACGGATGACCCTGATGGTCTCATGTTGGATAATTATTCCATGATGTCCCTGCTTGATCAGCCAGTGAGAGATGAGTGGAAGTCTCCTAATACAAAGTGAGTAACAGCGTGGGCAGGACTTTGCTCCTGAACCGTGAAATGCATTTGTCACCCTGTGCCTTGTACTATATGATGTGAAAAATTAAGGATGAGATTTCCTCCTTACTTCTGTTTGACTAAATAGTTTGACCCAAATATCTACTGCTGTCTCTAAGATCTACTAACTGCGCTTCTCATAGAGTTTTCAAGTGATGTGTGTGTCTGGAAGGACCTTTGCAGTGCTGGTCTAATAGCGTAACAGTCTGGTCTTCAGACTGTGCTATGCACTTTCAGTGTTGTCTGCTGTTCTTAGTAAGATACGGTTTGCTGATCCCTTAGGGTTACTAGTCTGGAAGTGCAGAATTTTTAAAACAAGCTATGAGAGCTGGTGCAGAATCCACCTGGTGATACTACTGGGATTAATAACTTTAATGGTAAGAATTGTGGCCTTGCAATTAAAGCATTCAGGACTAAAAGCCTTGGAAGTCGTTTAGCCTCCCCGAGTGTCAGTTTTCCCAGACTACCTAATCTTGTATAGGAAGGAGGAGTCATTCTAAACTGCACAGTGGTTTGCTGAAGCACCTCAAGGTGCATTAGTGGAAAAGCTTGAAGATGAGGAGAGAAGGTAGCCACAGGAGGTGGTTGACTGCAGATTACTGTTGTAACGCCTGGGGAAGGAATTGCCTGTACGTGACTGGGGTGATGAATATGCTGGAGTTTTGCATCAGCGAATGCAAACGTGTCTCTCTTCTGTATGCTTGAAATGGAAACTATAGTACGCTTCCTGAGTAAAGTCTATGTCACTGCAGTCCCAGTTATTCATCCGATAGTTAACCTGGCATGAGACAAACTCTCTTCTCCTCACCCTTCCCCATCGCAACAGGAAGCTCTTCCTGCTTGTTTGTACTGCATTAGTCTGACAGTATGCTGGCATTGTTGGTGGACACAGTCAGACAGAAGTTGTTGCTACCTGTATTGCTGTGACAACTCACCAGTATCATAGGAAGTTACTTCATGAAGCCCTAACAGTCATCCTTTGAAGCTGGAAGAGTATACTCAACACTTACCTCTCTGCATCTGTCTCCTCCATCTTTTCCTGTCATCGAGTATAAGAGCTGCAGTTCTCATTCCCTTCTGGGAATGTACTTTTGTTTTGCACTCCTTGGGTCTTTTGCACTATCTGAAAGTTGAATGCAGTGTCATAATTGGCAATCAAAAATGGGATTTCCAGGGTATCGTTTGAGGAAGCCAGCTTATAATCTTACCATCTTCACTCCTCCCGCTCTTTCTAAAAGAAACCATTGCAAGGACTATGAGATACTGCTGCTTAGCAGTTTGGAAGTTATTAGCACAGCCTCAGCAGGCTTGAAAACTCAGTTTCTGTGAGCTGGGGCTCGGATTCTCAGCCACAGTATGTTGTCATTGCCCAGTGACCTTTTCAGAGCTGCAGCTGGTAATTTAAGCTGTAGATCTGACCTCAGCAAAGAAACACAGGTTGTCATGGAAATAATGGTAGCATTCTATAAAGCTGAAATTAGATCACCTCTGTTACTAAATGAAGCTTATCCAGTTAAATCATCCCATTGAAGACATTTTAATCGTGTCATTATTTCACCCTTTGAAGTCAAAGGAACTTGATTGCTGTAAGCTTTCAAATCAATTTCATCACGTACACAATAGGAGATGGGTTTATGTGTATTTTAATCCAGGAAACACTTCAGAATATAAATGAATGCCAGTTATTTTCTTAAACACTTGATAGGATAACTTTCTAATCAGTGATTCTTTCCCTGTAGTTGATGGGCCTAATCTAGTAGCTTCCAAAAAATGTGAATAACAGTGACAGTCATGTAGCGTGGGGTGTTGCATGGGGAAGAGCTCTTGCACATACTCGTATTTTCACATATTTGGAGTTGTCTTCAGATTAGCTTTCAGTTCCAAACCTTCCAAAGAGCAAGGTTTCCATTATTCTCCAACCTCTTGGTCATCTTCCTCAGGACCAGTCTGCTCTTTTGTCAGGTCAGGCCTGCTGTGAGGGTATTGTTTCTGCTTGATTCATCCAATCAAAACATAAAATTAACATCTTGGAGATTGCTAGGTAATCAAAAAGAAACTATCCTTTCCTACTGCTCCTCTTTCTGATAGTCCAAATAATTAATGAAGTCCTTGGTTCCAACACTTCAAGAGACAGGATCAAACCTGCCTCTCTTTATTTAGGGAGTTTAAATGAGTTATCCTTTTTGAGTCCTCTTGAATGATGTTAATCACTGACAAGACCTGTGCTTTGAGCATTGCTTGAATTTCCTTTCAGACTGTGAAGAGACCATTTGTCTTCTGATAGTTTATCATCCCCAAAAGAAGAGTAAATCTATACTAGATGCAAAAAACCACTTTGAATCAGCACAAGAGGCCTTTGGTGTCAGCCAGCCATGAATCATGTTTCTTGCAGCATGTTCCTTGTTGGGAGTAAGGCAAATTCCTGGAATTTGCAGATCTACTTCTAGTCTGCAGAGTCCCAGCACTCTCACTGTAGTCACAAATGGTAGAATACTTGGTCTCGGAGACTTTAAACGTAAAGCTGTTTGACTTATGTTTAGGTAGGTGAGATCACTGATAAGAAAAAGGAGCTGCAGCAGAATTCTAATTGGCTACAGTAATCAGTACCAATTGGCATCTAGCCAGCAGGCTCTGACAAGAGGTGGGTGGGGGTTTCTTAATCTGATCCTCATCGGTTCAATTGATTTTTCTATGCACAGTAGCTGGGATCATCATTACGGAGGCTGTAATGAAGTGTGTGTGGAGTAGTATGATTCACTGTTCTGGCTTGTTTGTAAGCTGCTACTTGAAACCAGCTGTAGCATGTGCCCTTTTCTGACTTGGGTATTGTAGGCTCTGGGTGTTCTATAATCCCAGTATATTTCTTGGATGGGTTTCTAGAGTAACAGGAATTAAAAATCACCTAACAATTCCAGGTTCCGCTCTACAAGCAAAGGAGTTGCTCTAGATATAAACTTTGTCATACCACTGATGTAGATGTTAAAGGAGCTAGAACTTGGCCATGCTAAAGTCTGCTATCTGAAAATCCACAGCACGTGTTACTCAATGCATTTGTTAATAAAAATTCAGTAAAATTACTAATAGTATTTTTTTTGTCATTTTGCTTTGGACATCAACAAAATCTTCGCTAGTGTCAGCAGGTGTTAAAGTGAGTGCTAGTATTGAAGTGTGATTAGTCACAGCTTTACCCTGAGCGTGGAATCATCTCTGTTAAATAAATTTTAGAATGGAATTAAGAATATAAAATTTTAGTTGAATTATCGTGCAGTTTAAGTCATCTCATGTGCATCTCTGTTCCATTCCAAGTAATGTGACACAATCATAGAATAGCCCAGGCTGGAAGGGACCTCGAAAGATCATCTGGTCCAACCTCCCATGGGAAAGGGAGCCTAGATGAGTTACACAAACTTCATCCTTGCCAAATTCCTCTTATCTAATAGGCTAAGGAGGAGGGGTAGTGCAAAAGACACCCAGAAGAGGGGAGGGGGGGAAAGCTACCAGGCTTTTCTATTTCTGGTTTCCTGAGAAATGTGAGTATTTTTGGAGAGAAAACAGCAAGCAGAAACTATTGCTATGGTGTTGCCCAATTTTTGCAGCTGATAATATTTTATTCTTGCTCCTTTTATTCTACACATTCTGTGGTAACAGCAGTGGTTTGAGATCTTTGGTAATCTGTGTCTGTTTCTTTTACCTCTAATCTTCTAGTTGCAGGTGGTTGGAGAGATGATGTGGTTGTTCTTTTGTTGGTCTTCCAGCTGCCCCAGCTTCTTTCCCTCCTTTTCCCTCCCTATGCCAGTGGTCATTCTGCTGCAGCTTCCAGAATCTGTGGTGGTGAGAGTGAGCAGGTAGTTGTTTGTTTTATTGAATACCAGTGCCAGCAGTGGCAATGTACTCCTGTACTCTCATGGGGAAAGTGAAGAATTGAGATTTATCACCATGACAACATTCTCCTATATCTCAAATTCCTCAGAAGTCTGTCCCATCAGTATACTGCTAGCTGCTCCTGCAGCTGGCAAAACACCTTGCGGTTTCTATTGCTGTGTCATCAGCAAGGTAATTAACTGTGTTCTCATTGCTTTTGCTTTGGTTTTGGCCACTTTCATTTAATCCCCACTAAATCTTTCTTCCTACTACTGTTACAAAGTTTGCTTGCTAGCCCTTCATAAGAAAGGCTCAGCTGTAGATGTTGGCAGCTGACCTGGAGATGTTTTCTAGATAGTGTTTCCAATGTATTTTGGTTATGTTCCAACAAGAAGTAGTCCTCTGTGTTTAGAGTTCCATCATAGCTCCTAACAACTAGAAAGCAGAGCCATGAAGCAAGCAACCACTGGGTGTGCCTGGTCCTGCTGCACCTTCACTGTTATGTTCCTTTCTCCTTCTTACTGAACTTTGACAGTTGTAGCTGCTTTTGTGATGCTCAGTCGTTGCAGTGAGTCATGTAAAGGAGTTAAACTCTCAGCAGTTTTACAGCACTGGCAAGCAGTAGTTGAGTGTTATGATTAAATCGTGACTTGGTAAAGCTTCTAGTCTGTCCCTGACTTAATATCACCTCCTGTGACTTCGGAATAAATGTGATCTAATTCTTTGGATTTGGAGGGCATATAAGGGTAGTAGGAAAGAGTTTTGGGAGGTAAAACTTGTTAGGATTTTTGCAAATCCATTAAATGTCCAAAGTGGGTGAGATTTCTGGTTTTCCCAAACTTGCTTCACTTATGCTTCAAGAGCAAAGCATCACAGTGTGATTAGCATGGAAGCTGGAACTGGGGTTCGGGGAGTTATGATGTCTGTGAAGGTGCTTTGAGAGTCTTGCTTGAATAGTCTGCAAAGACACATATTTAAAGGATCTTAAGAAAAAAACCCCAAACACAAAACAAACACCCACACATCAACAAGTGCATCTAAACACAAGGCTGACCTTTGGCTCCGCAAGTGTCTGATTCACAAACTGCTGGCAGGTGGGA